TCAGTGATTCCTATTGAGACCTGAAATTAGTCTCTAAAACCTGTGTAGTGCCGCACGAAACGAGATAAATCTCATCCTAAATGGGCCGTGTTACATTCTACAATCTAACAACCTCGGTTCCCATGTTGATACTTATATTGTCATTATTACTTAAATTTTATTATTTTTACTTTTATTTTAACATTTTTAAAATTTAAAATTATTTTAATTGACAGAATCCACTAAACGTAGGATTCTACTATACTCGCTATTTTCTGAAATTCTATTTTCTAAATTAGCCTTCTATTATAAGTTTTAATTATAAATTAATGATTTCTAGCTTTTAACTTTATTAATAATTTTCAAAATAAAACATCTGTGCACTTGAAGGAACAAAGTAATCAGACATTCTCCGAAATAAACCGATCAGACTTCAGGAGAATAAATTCTTTGTATCATTGTATCAAACATCCTCCTACATTGTACAAAAACAGAGTTCGAGAACAAATTACACCCGCTGTAAGTTATCTATTAACCTGGCAAATCTCTTTAAAGGTAGGAACATAAGAGCTAATCAAAAGTAATCTTACAATGACGAAGCTCGAGTGGATTCCGGAACACACAAAGCAGGGAGCTTTTATACCCACAAAGCTCTAATTCGCCCTCAATCCGCTTAACGTACCCCTTTGGCACTGGAATAGGATAGTCCAGATTGCGCCATGTTACTGCTTGTCTCGTTTCGTTCATATCGATAATTAATAATCCGGACATTTTCTACGGGATTGTCTCTGAAATTTTGATTACAACTCTTTTTGATATCAGCCCTTCCAAAAATAGTTTGGTATTTGATGTTGAATACGCTGTACAGGAAGTTGCAGCTTTCTAACTTGTTAGTATACCAACAGACGTTTTTTTTATTAACAGAAATGAATGAAAGTTATTCGAGGAAAACAAAACAAAACAAAAGGATAGTATTTAAAGGATATTACTACTTTACTCGCAACTTTTAATAAAAATATTTATGATATAATATTAGAATTTGTCAATGAAAATAATATCATGATCTAGATTATTACTTGTATCATACCCACATGATAATCTAATAAAAAAAAAATACCGTTTTGAGTGTGTGGCAAATGGCTTACAGTCGATGCCAAAAAAAAAACAAAAAAAAAAAAAAAAAAGGATATTATTTACATAAGTATAACATAATTTCTATATCCTAGTGAGGTTTTCAATTAAAAATATCAACAAAAACATGCGATTGTTTATAAGTTTGTGACGCAATAGTAGCAAAAAAGACATGAATAAACACCTCTCTTAAGCTAGCAGGACCAACTGGGCAGAATCGATTAAAATCTATTACATTATTTAGTATCTTAGTATACATTTAAAAAATGACTTTTTTGAACAACAGTGGATTTCCATCCAAAATACACGCAATACAATTTGTATTGGCAATATTTATCGTCCACCTGATACAAATTTAAAAATGTTTTTAGATCACTTTGAAGATACTATATCGACTATGAATATCGAATCTCAAAATTTGATTTATGTAGGAGACTTTAATATTGACCTACTTGTAAATAATAATGTTACGTCTGACTACCTAGCTATACTTGACGGGTTAAACATGAAGCAAATTGTTACCGAAGCAACAAGAATCACTCTTAGCTCAAGAACATTACTTGATCATATTATCTTAACCGAGAACTTAAAAATAATTAAACATTCTAATCTCAATTTTCCGAGTTCCGATCATAATTCGGTTGACGTAATAATAAACATAAATTTAAAAAAAAACCCAGCCCTTATTTAAGCAATTCAGAGATTTTTCAAAATTTAATTTGGCTAATTTTGATGCAGATTTACATTCTCTTAATTGGGAAACAATATATTCCTTTAATAATGTGGATGAAAAGTTAAATTTTCTTAATAACTCCATTAAAAATATATTTGATTATCATGCGCCTTTAAAAATATCTCGTTTTACTAAACCTTTTTTGCCATGGATAACACCGAATATAAAACTTTTAATGTCATTACGAGATAGAGCCTACACTAAATTTAAATCTAGTAATAACGCAGTTCATTGGAATTATTACAAAGATCTACGTAATTATACAACGGGTGCAATTAGAACTGAAAAAAAAGTTTACTTGGAACAAAAACTTCAAAATGCAGATAGAAAAATAAATGGAAAATTTTGAGAAAATTTAACATTATTGGAAATCCTAAGACAATAAATAACTTTAATTTTAAAACTAATGCTACTGAAATTAATAGGCATTTTTTGTTCACAACAGGAATCGTGAAAGATCCACATAATGAAACACACTCCTTTTATAGCAATAGTCTAAAAAATGAATTTGTATCAAAATTTAAATTTAAAACAATTTCGGAAGAAGATGTAGCTCGCTCTATATTGAAAATAAAAACAAAGGCCTGTGGATATGACGGCATTAACATATCCTTAATACATTTTTTATGTCCGCACTTACTCCCATATTTCACACACTTATTTAACTATTGCTTATCAAACTCAGTGTTTCCATCTTGTTGGAAAGAGGGACTAGTTACACCCATACCTAAAGTTGAACCACCTTCTGAATTAAAGGAATTACGTCCTGTGACAGTACTTCCAACTTTATCAAAAGTTTTAGAACGAACAATGGAATTTCAAATAAAACAACATCTGGATACATACTCTATACTACCAACGGTTCAGTCAGGATTCAGACCAGGTTTTAGTTGTGGGACGGCACTGTTAAATATCACAGATGACATACTAACTGAACTTGATAATAAAAAATGCGGTGCTTTAATTTTGCTTGACTACAGTAAAGCTTTTGATATGCTAAATCACCAATTAATGTTCGCTATTTTAAGTTACATAGGTTTCAGTAATTCTGCAATAGAGCTTCTTAAAAATTATTTTAATAATAGGACTCAACGAGTAAGTTTCCTTAATGACATTTCAAATGTGGGTATAATAAAAAGAGGCGTTCCTCAAGGTACAATTTTAGGACCTTTACTGTATACAATTTACACCAGTAATATTCCGAATGTATTAATGCATATGAAAATACATATGTATGCAGATGACACTCAGTTGTATTACTTCTTTAATAAAGAATATATTACCAATGCACAAAATTTAATAAACACTGAGCTAAAGGCATTATTAGAAGCATCTAAAAAACATGACTTGGTAATTAATAATTCTAAATCAACTATTATGTTATTCGGAAATAATATATTACCTAATGAGTTAATAATCAAAATTGAAAACGACCCTTTAAACACTACTGAGCAGGCTAGAAATTTAGGTGTCATAATCGATAACAAATTAAGATTTACCGATCACACATCATTTATATTAAAGAAGGCTTATCGAAAATTAAAAGTTCTATATCCCAATAGACATATTTTAAGTAGGAAACTCAAAATACTACTTTGTGAATCGCTTGTCCTCTCACAAACTAACCACTGTGACTACGTATATGGTCCCTGCTTAACTTCAAGAGATTCAGGCAGACTACAGAGGCTTCAAAATTCTTGTTTACGATTAATCTTCAGTATAAGAAAATTTGATCCAATTAGTCATACATTAGTAACTGCTCGCTGGCTGAATATGACTCGCAGGTTATTACATTCGTTGACATTGCTCCACAAAGTTATCGTAAACACAACTCCCCCTTACCTAACCAATAAAATAAAGTATAGATCAGATGTGCATAATATTAATATCAGAAGAAAAAAAATTATTTCTATTCCAGTCCATAGAACTACCTTTTTCGAAAAATCTTTTAGATATAATATTTTCAAAGCATACAATCTTCTACCAGACAATTTTAAATTAATGAAAATATCTCAATTCAAACAAAAACTTTTTGAAAAATTATTTAGCGAACAGTGTTGAAACTAATTATTTCACCTATTTATTTATTTATTTATGCAAATGTGTTATAAATGTGTTATAAATGTGTTATAAATGAGTTGTAAATTTATTATGACTTTTCTTCTAAATCGCGATTTCTTACATTTTACTATTAATATTATTTTTTTTTTCTTTTTTTATTTATTTATATATGTATACATATATGTATATATATTTTGGGTTCTTAAGGAAGAGCAGCCTAGCTGATTTTGCGCCCTTTAACCAACGTTTGCCTTTTTCTTATTTTTTATGTATATAGGTACTATAGTGAATATTCTATTTTAATTTCCTTGTATTTTGTTGGTTAATAAAGACATTTATTATTATTATTATTATTATTATCTATTTTGTACTAATTTGTACCACCAATAAAATTTTTGTACCATGTGCCGTTTTCAAAAAAAAAAACGTGGCGCTGCTAGGTTAATATTAAGCTAGCAGGACCACATTAAAAAAATAAAATAAAAAATAAAACAAAGGTAGAATTAAAAAAAAACTGAATTTGTACCAATTTGTACCACCAAACATTGTTAACCAACACAATCAATTTTTAGTACTATGTACGGTTTATAAAAAAACACATGGTGCTTCTAGTATAATATTAAGCTAACAGGACCACATTACAAAAATAAAATACAAAATAAAACAAAAGAAGAATTAAAAAAAACTAAATTTGTACTAATTTGTACCACCAATAAATTTTTCGGTACTATGTACCGTTTTACAAAAAAACACAAGGTGCTTCTAGTTCAATATTAGGCTAGCAGGACCACATTGAAAAATACAAAGGTACAATTAAAAAGGACTGATTTTGTACCAATATGTACCATTAAAAAAACCTAATTTATTTAATCAAACTGCCTAAAACAACTTTCAAATTAATCCAAATCTGTTATAATTAAAAACATAATTTGTACCGTTAAAATATAAATTTTCAGAATATGCACCTCTGCCGTTCCTTAGAAACTATCTTAAATTCATATTCCTTTTAAACAGCAAAATCAATCGTTACTTCTGCAATAAAAGTAGGTTAAAATGTAAATTGTTAGATTCTGTATCCTTGCCGTTCCTATAGAAACTAAACTAAATTCATATTAGGCTCAAGAGTAAAGTACCCTTTTGCACGAGCAGAATCAATAGTTACTCCTGCAATAAAAGTAACATAATTTGTAACACTAAAATATGAAATTTCAGATTTTGTACCCCTTCCGTTCCTATAGAAACTAACCTAAATTCATATTAGGCTCAAAAGTAAAGTACCCTTTTGCACGAGCAGAATCAATAGTTACTCCTATAATGAAAGTAACATAATTTGTACCACTAAAATATGAAATTTCAGATTTTGTACCCCTGCCGTTCTTATAGAAACGAACCTAAATTCATATTAGGTTTAAGAGTAAAGTACCCTTTTGCACGAGTAGAATCAATAGTTACTCCTGCAATGAAAGTACCATAATTTGTACCACTAAAATATGAAATTTCAGATTTTTTACCCCTGCCGTTCTTATAGAAACTAACCTAAACTCATATTAGGCTCAAGAGTAAAGTACCCTTTTGCACCAGCAGAATCAATAGTTACTCCTGCAATGAAAGTTACATAATTTGTACCACTAAAATATGAAATTTTAGATTTTGTACCCCTGCCGTTCCTATAGAAACGAACCTAAATTCATATTAGGTTTAAGAGTAAAGTACCCTTTTGCACGAGCAGAATCAATGGTTACTCCTGCAATGAAAGTATCATAATTTGTACCACTAAAATATGAAATTTCAGATTTTTTACCCCTGCCGTTCTTATAGAAACTAACCTAAACTCATATTAGGCTCAAGAGTAAAGTACCCTTTTGCACCAGCAGAATCAATAGTTACTCCTGCAATGAAAGTACCATAATTTGTACCACTAAAATATGAAATTTCAGATTTTTTACCCCTGCCGTTCTTATAGAAACTAACCTAAACTCATATTAGGCTCAAGACTAAAGTACTCTTTTGCACGAGCAGAATCAATAGTTACTTTTGCAATGAAAGTGACATAATTTGTACTACTAAAATATGAAATTTCAGATTTTGTACCCCTGCCGTTCCTATAGAAACGAACCTAAATTCATATTAGGTTTAAGAGTAAAGTACCCTTTTGCACGAGTAGAATCAATAGTTACTCCTGTAATGAAAGTACCATAATTTGTACCACTAAAATATGAAATTTCAGATTTTTTACCCCTGCCGTTCTTATAGAAACTAACCTAAACTCATATTAGGCTCAAGAGTAAAGTACCCTTTTGCACCAGCAGAATCAATAGTTACTCCTGCAATGAAAGTACCATAATTTGTACCACTAAAATATGAAATTTCAGATTTTTTACCCCTGCCGTTCTTATAGAAACTAACCTAAACTCATATTAGGCTCAAGACTAAAGTACTCTTTTGCACGAGCAGAATCAATAGTTACTTTTGCAATGAAAGTGACATAATTTGTACTACTAAAATATGAAATTTCAGATTTTGTACCCCTGCCGTTCCTATAGAAACGAACCTAAATTCATATTAGGTTTAAGAGTAAAGTACCCTTTTGCACCAGTAGAATCAATAGTTACTCCTGTAATGAAAGTACCATAATTTGTACCACTAAAATATGAAATTTCAGATTTTTTACCCCTGCCGTTCTTATAGAAACTAACCTAAACTCATATTAGGCTCAAGAGTAAAGTACCCTTTTGCACCAGCAAAATCAATAGTTACTCCTGCAATGAAAGTAACATAATTTGTACCACTAAAATATGAAATTTTAGATTTTGTACACCTGCCGTTCCTATAGAAACTAACCTAAACTCATATTAGGCTCAAGAGTAAAGTACCCTTTTGCACCAGCAGAATCAATAGTTACTCCTGCAATGAAAGTAACATAATTTGTACCACTAAAATATGAAATTTTAGATTTTGTACCCCTGCCGTTCCTATAGAAACTAACCTAAACTCATATTTGGCTCAAGAGTAAAGTACCCTTTTGCACGAGCAGAATCAAAAGTTACTCCTGCGATTAAACTAACATAATTTGTACCACTAAAATATGAAATTTCAGATTGGAGTATTATAGATGTAGACTTACCAGTTTTTAATAAATAAGAAACGAAGTAGTAGACTTACCTGAAACAAAAAGATATATTTAAATATTGCCTCATATTAAATTAAAATGTTAATTATTATATTATCTCTACAACAGTTTTGAAAATTTTTAATTCGATTATTTTAAGTCCCTACTTTTTTCTATTCACCAAATTAATATCAATTCCAATGGATATTGGAACAATAGCCACGATCTGTATATGACAATTTAATACAATTACATTATTTTAAAAAATATACTAAAAAATCGTAAAAACAAAGTTAATATTGATAGTTAATTTTAAATAGATAAAAAAACAAAAAAAGAGATACTTTATTTCATATTCGAAACAATTATTTATTTGACGTCAGCAATTCGATTATTTTATTTTACTCTTAATTATATATGCAAAATGGTTATTAAAAACTGAAACTATCAAATGACATTTCATTTAAAATAGCCTGTTATGCGTTTACAGGTATCCTACCTCCATGGTAAAAATAGTATTGCGTAATAGTGTATATTAAATAGAATAAAGTCTCGGAAATACCCCATTCGCTTTCTCTGTTGATTAAATGTAAAACGGCTAAAACAGAAAGTTACTAGATTTTGTCACGTCGTAGATTAATTACATCATATTAATATGGTAGGTGGCAGTTATCAAAATAATTTTGAATTTGTCAATTTGTTAAAACCCTTATTGTTATCTGATTGATATCATAATTACTTAAGTACCCTTATTTACTTTAAATAGTCAGTTTATTTTATGTTATTGATGTATTTTCTTAATTACTTTGTTTGGTTAAATTACTTCGCATATATATTGGACACCGAATTGTAAATTAGTCACATTTGAAAAAGAAGTTGTACTTCGAAACATGTCATGTGTAGTGTTTTTTTTTTTTTTTTATTTTTTAAATAAAAGTTTTGTGAAAATCTACCAAATTTGGTTTTACTTATTTAAGCTAATATGGATTTTTATCAAGTAAAGGCCGAAACAATAAATAATAGGTAGTTGTATTGTAAAAGTTTCAATTTAAAATAAATTAAGTTTACCAAAAAACCAGCGTAACAATATCATTCCATGAGTTGTTGCACTATATAATATTATGTTTAATTTAGATGCTTTTTGCCAAAATAATTAAATTCAATCAGTTTGATTAAGTTAAGTTAATTAATTCAAAGTGAGTATGTAGAATTTATATTAAACTGTGTATACAATGTGTGCCATAACGTTGAATCCATATGGGATTTTTTTAAATAATACGTTTGAGAAAAAACGTCGTATGTCAATCACCTCTCCTTATTTAAAAACTTAAAACAGCTCATATCATATCATTAAAACAAAAAGGTACTAACTTTGCTAGCCTATGAATCTCTAAATATATGATATATTATATTGTCTTGAAACAATATACTAGGTATATGCTTTGTATATGTCATTAAGAGAAATAAAATTATTAAATATAATTCTTTATCTAAGATTTATTTCAGAACAAGAGTGAGTTTAAAAGTGAATAGTTACATAAAAAAAACAATGTCAGTCATATTACAAATCTTTATTGCTATCTTAACTGCCCTATCATATAATCATTCACCAATATTCACATCATCAATTAAATTAAAAATAATAAGATAAACTGCTATACTAGTGGTGGTTACACTCTATATACAAACGCTCCAAGTTTGAAATAGCGTCTTTCAAAAAAATTCAATGCCAGTTCTTATTCATTTGAGTATAACATTGTTTTAAATCAATTGAATTTATGTACCTTTATTAATTCACTTTATATTAAATTATATTACTCTAATTTCATCTGCCTTTAGAGTGGCCTCTATCGTCTCGTCTCGTAGGGCGAGAGAAAACTATTCTCTCGTCTCGACGAGAAGGCACTTCTCTCGCTCGAGAGAGCCTTTTTCTCGTCTCGTCTCGTTTTGTCTCGTTTCTCTCGTGATAAAACAATATCAAATTTAAATTTGAAAAAGACGCTACATGAAAAAACAGTAAAATTTGTAAGGCAAAAACAAAGAATTTTTCAAGTAATTTGCGCATTAGTACCCAAATTTGGCAATAAGAAACACTTATGTCTCTCTGTCTGTCACAGTCGTTTTATAATTGAAATTTGAAGTAATAACTGGCCAAGATTAGGCGTTAACTAAAAATGAAAATACTTTGTCTTGTAAGTCAGTTGGGGAGGGGGTGAAGAGGTTAAATTGGAAGTTTTTCTAATGCAATCCTGCGATGTCAAATGAAAGCATTTTGTAGTGTTGTTAAAATGCAAGAAGATAGAGACATAAAACAAAAACGATGTGAAATTAGAGAAACATTATGATATTTTTGTTATAATGAGATGCACTTTACTTAAGACATAAAATAGAGGGCGTTACTACATTTAAATTTTGTAATGGAAAGTAAAGTCATGTGATACCTCATTTGAAAGTTATTTTGATTTTATTTACGTTCTAGCACAGTTTTAATTTTTTTTTGTTTTTAAAAAACTACATTCTTAATAATCCTCGTGTGCCGCAATAATCCTAGAAATCTTAGATAATGTTAGAAGAGAATTTTTTAATATTTTTTTTTTGCCAAGAAGTTATGAAAAATTTAATACGTCAAGTGGTTTTTAAATCACCTTTGATTTTCTTAATTTATTTATTTTAGTAAATACAAGAAGCGTTTCCTTAGTAATAAACAATAATTGTAAATACGAGAGTTATCAAGAATGTAACTTATTAGTAAAGGTCCAGAACATGTCTGTATAAAAATAAGTTACCAGCTACAAAAAATTGCCATTTGTGCAGTGTTAAATCCCTCTAACAGTAAAAAATTACTTAATATATAAAAGATACTGACATTTATTCTGTACTAGCCAAAATGTTAATTATCCATTGTATACTATTGTAAAAAACAGCATTTATAAGGTATTATACCTCCGGTAATTATCCTTTGGGGTTAAAGCGGTAAATAAAAAAAAGAATTTAACCTACTTTATCAATTTATTTAATGTAATTTCTGTAAAAACATAAGAACCTAAATCTTTTACCATGATCGTAAAAATATAGAAAATATCCTTCAAATGAGGTATCACATGACCCTACTTTCCATTAGAAAATTTAAAGCTAGTATCTTCCTCTATCTTACGTGTCTCAAATAAAGTGTGTCTCATTATAACAAAAATATAATATCTTTTGAGTTTTACTTCGTTTTTGTTTTGTCATTATCTTTTTTCATATAGAAGTTAAAATAGACGAGGGTACAATTTTCGTCCTTACTGTATATAATACATTTGTTTGTATGACCTTTTCTTTGACAGTTTTTCGAAAAAGCGCTTAAAAATTTTCAACTTATCTTCAAAAGTAAACTCAGAAAAGCAGACTGGATTTAATATAAGAAATGATTGTATAAATTTTAAATAAATGAAATGAGAAATATTTTTTCTTATAAATCACTATTTACAAAATCCTAATAACACAAGTATCATTTGTTACCATTTAATATATATAGAATAGGTGTGTTATAGTTAACTTTTTGACTATCTCGAAATCTAATATGTTAAAATTTTAAGTTACGATAAGCAATTGAAAACTTCAAATAAGCAAAGAGAAAATTGTTCGAGAGAGCCATAGAGAGCTCGAGAGAAACGAGAAATTCTCGTCGAGAGATGACACTCTCTCGTCTCGTCTCGAATCTGTTTTCGAGAGAAAATGTCCCTCTCGTCTCGTTCGAGACGAGACAAGACGAGACGAGAGACGAGAATCTCTCGTCTCGCGGCATCACTAGTCGCGCAGACTGACAATTTTGTGGTGAGGTATCGATTTGAAAAATGAAAAATTATTTGAGTCTGTTACTTTATCATATAATTTCTTTCAGGCTTAATCGATAGCTAGTACGAAGTTTTGGATTATCTGTCAAATATTTAAAATTCAATAACTTAAAGTTTCATCAAAAAATAATTATTGCTTCAGGCGAGTTCTATTCTGGAAAAAAAAATTGTGATTTTACTTTCAGTTGTAGTTGTGATTTTCATGTGGCCCTATTTAAGTAGAACTCAAAGTTATTTAAATCTAAATTACAAAGTTGATTTATATCGTAACTGAACATTTTACATAACCTTAACTGAAGAAAATAATAATAATAATAAATGTAATTTAGATGTAAAAGGTCTTCAGTTAAGTATCTAGTTATTTATCTATCTATAGATGTCAGTTATTTAAATGTGTTTTTCAGGTGATTTTAACTGTACTTTGGTTATCTGAAAATTACATGTACTCTCCAATTTTTTATAGATATGTTAACTGAACGCATAATTACGACCTTTGCAAATTCTCACAAGTAAGGTATCCCTGATTTACAGGTAAAGCTCAACTGTAATTTGCAGTTATAAGTTGCTGACAACTATGTAGTTTATACGTAATATTTCTCTGATTTTCATATTCCCGTATGTATAATCACAAAGTGTCGCATGACCTAATAGTTATACGGAAGACCCGTAAATTTAATACAAAAATTTCGGCAACATTATGATGTTTCTAAGTTTAGGGGTAACTAGTAATTTGTATTGTTAATGAACATGGTGTGTAATTTTAGTTTTACAACGGTTTTAATTAATAAAAACAATGCTGATAAGCGAATCTAAGATATACTAAAACAATTTGATACATATCTTTGAGTAAGCTGTGTTTTCGTAACCATTAATGCCTTGTTAATTAATTAATTAGTAGTTTTTTTAATATTTTTTTTATATTACAAGTTATGGTATCAATATCATTAAACGCAAGACAATAAAATATTTAATATCACAAGCGCATGAAAAAGGAAAAAGTCTTACTCTCAACAGGAATAAGAAAAAAACTCTGAGAACACTTATAAGTTTT